AATAGGTTGTGTCGGGCGCTTGATTGCCACGGGCAGGGTCTGAAAGGGGATCGGCGACGTGGGCCGCGCGCTGACGGCGGGGCTCTCATTGTGAATGTATGCAGGTGACCGGGACGGGGGGCGGCGCTGGGTTCCTGTGTTGTCTGAAGGCAGGTAGCCAATGGTGTGTTGGGCAGACAGCAGCACACTGGGGATGAAGTGTGTGCCAGCTGGATACTTGAAATAGCGCCCTGATCTAGTCAACAGAGTTGGTTCAAAAAGCAAAAACCCCTGGGCATGGACCATTTTGTGTTTTTTTATCATGTATGGTCATGATTTCGTTTTTTTTTCAGCCTCGGGGGGTTGCATTTGGGTGGGACGTGCTCAACAGATAGAGCGCGTCCACGCCACAGGTGACCACCTGAGGGATGGATCCTGCATATAAACCCCCTCCAAAAAGCGCTGTGTCTTCACACAGCTGCAAGGTTGCCATGTCATCGTGCTAAACATGCCTCGATACCATGCCGGGTGGCACCCATCATTTGTGAAAAATGATCCAGCACTTCGAGCACATTGACTTGACACATACAGTGGTCAATGCAGGGAGAATGGCCACAAGAGACGTTTGACCGTAGCCCAAGAAATTTCAGATCCATTACATGAAATTCTAAAGTGTCTCTAACACTGATTTCAGCGCGTTTCGACGCATCTGATACGTGAGCAGGTGCATTGTGGTGCTTGCCGAGCTGCGCTGCCCTGTTCCCGCGCACAAGGGACAACAGAATTGATATTTAAATTTCCTACGCTGATATCCATTGCATAGAATAGCGACATCATCCGAGGTCGCGGTGGGCCCGGGTTCCGTTCGCCCGGGTTCCGTTCGCGGTCGCTGCGGTAATTGGAACCTGAACAGGGGATGTGGGCCACGACAGTGATGACAAGTCGCCTGGACACCACCACGCACGTTGTGACGTGTGCTCAGTCAGGGAACGTGGCGCGCGGCGCCCAACAAGCCGGCATGCATGCTTCTGATTGTGGTGACCTGTCGGCTGTCGCTGCCGTGCCCAAGCGTCGAGCACTGGTCCACACGACTGCTATGCGAGCTGTCGAACAACAGCACATACATTCATGCTTGACGGGCAGCTGCAGCAAATGATCCGCACTTCCACCATCTAAACGGTTGGCATGCCATGCCAACCGTGCACCCCCAAGGTGTGCGGCGACGCAATGAGCATTTCAGTCAGCGCGCCGACACCGCGCCACTGCCCCACCGCATTTTGTCCCACCCGCCTCCGGAGAGCAAGGCGACGGCACCATCGCCCTGTGCTGCACTGCACTCACCTCTGCGTAATTGGATGCGCAATCTTGATGAGGAATGCAGGGACGCTCCCAGATTACGCTCAGTGCCCGACGACGCGCTCGCTGCGTGTTTGGCCAAGACTTTGCTGACGTCGGTCGGTGGATGAGTATGTCCGTTACAGCGGCGGCAGAGGCCGGAGGGGCTGGCAGGGGTCTCATATGCTCTTGTATGACATGACGGCGCGCAAGCACAGACCCAGACAGACCAGGACAGGTGGACGTGTACCTGATGCAATGTGCATTACTAGTATACAGGTGCTTGCCGTTGAGCTGGGGCCTGCAGGACTGTCCACAAGCAAGCTGAATCATGAGTACACGCAACAACAAGGGCTGGTGATGCCAGGCAGTTTCAAACTTGAATCGGTTGATAGACAGCTGTGTGCAAACCCCTGCGCACAGTGGCCGTGAGTGCTGCTGTGCGTGTGTGGCGCCCCCTGCCTGCGATGCGTTCGTGCCCGCACTTCCTCCGAGCGAAACTTTTTGGGACGTTTGACGCAGCTTAGCATGTGCTCACTGAATCGGTTGAATGGGTGCCATCGCAGCCTGCAGAGAGCTTTGTGCCAGCAGCCACAATTACACATGGAAACAGGGGACCCTACCGTCCGTAAGGTTTGTAACACAGCGCAACTAGATGCACACGCCAATGGCACCAGACAGCCGCGCATTCAACAATCGCAAGCCAAAGCGCTGTCAGGCAGCATTGCAAACATGACCATCCTGACCGCATGGGCGATAACAGGGGTCCAAACACATGTGTGGAAGCTTAAAAAGATAAATGTGTTCAAAGGGGGCCGTT